TTTGATACATACGTACTTTCATTTCACAAGCCATTTTCGGCTATGGTTCAAATCAAACTTTCGCCTCTGTCCAGAGCTCTACACCCACCTTGGAATCATTGATTTATCTCATGGCTCTTTGTGTTTATTTCATCAAAAATTAGTCCGATGAGCAGAACGCCTTCCCAGTAATTTCATATCGAAGTCAATCGGTACTTTCACCTGAAAATAGTCCATTGGAACTGATGTGAGTTTTTCGACCCCTGAGTCATCATTGTAATTTATCACCACCCCTCCCCTCTAGACACACATACACACACACACACACACGAACACCTTTCTAGCGCCATGGACTTCACTTTTCTCATCGTGTGTTGTTTTCAATTTCATCGGCTGTGCTTCCTCCAACCCGTACATTCATCTCCTCGGAACGGATATGTTACAGACTTACGCACACACACACACACACACACACAAAGACATTGAAAGTGCTACTAGCACTCAAACCCCATCCTGGTTGTGAAGGTAAGGAGGGTTAAATGAAGTGGGGGTTGGGGTGGAGGTCGGTTCATTTGATCCGGCCAGTTTTTCACTCTGTTTGTTGTCTGGCTTGAATCAATCTGCGAAACTCGCTTCGATCCGGATCATCAACAACAATTGATCTAACTATTTTCTATCCTTTCGTGCACATTGATTGATTTCTTCCCCATAACCACCACATCCCATGTTTAGCTGCCTTCTACTTTCTGCTTCTTACTCACCCACCTCCAATCCTCAGTCCATATCCATTTGATCCCAACTCTCGTCCTATCAACTAACCTTACATCTGTCCGTCCCATTCCGGTCCCCCTACCCCCCACCCTCGACCCGACTCCACTCCTTTTACCCCGACCCAGCCTGTATCGCATACATGATCCCGTGTGTCAAGGTCATTTTATGAATCAGTTTCACTTCTGCCTTGCGCGTCTGTGTTTTTCCCTCATTCAGAAAAGTGCTTTCGTTGTGTCGGGCTATGAGGTTTAATTTAGAGACTTAGTGTGGACAGGTTTCTACAATGTGAGCCAAAATCTCCGAAAGATATCCTGCTCTTCGATGTGGGGTAACCTGGTCTGCATAAAATGGGGGGATTCCAAAGGCCCGACAAGGTTTGACTCCCCCGTCCGCCCGGCAAACAACGGCCACTCAGGTCTTGGCACAAAGTGTTCTGCACCAGGTAAACTACACAAAACAACTTTGATGCAGCGTGAATAAGAAAGATCTGCTGTGTCCTCATGGATCGATTTATTCGTGTGCCCGAAGAACGTGGATTCAAATCCTACCCTCAATTGATAACAACAACAATTGATTTTTTAATCCCTTACCCTGTCTTGGATACCGTGATACAGTAAAGCATTGAAATATGAAGAATTTTTAATCCAAATGACAATTCGCCTCGTGTTCGCCTTGCATTCATTCTTGCTGAAAAAGCAATCGTAAATGTACCTGATTGCTAGACTAATAGAACAGGCGCAGTATACAGGTGTCATGATAGCCACGGACAATTGATTACGCTTAGATAGTGAATTTCTCCGGGTACGGACCAAATGACGCACAAGATGAAAATCTGGAAAGCACTGCTTCCACTTGGTTGTGGCTTTCATCCGCAATACTAATCCGTCAATGCAGCTGATCGGATCACGAACCCGGGACATTATTATATAATCCAATCGAATTCACTCCCTTACGCCCAATGAACAAGCGGAGTCAGATTCGGCACGTTCTCATTCGCTTCCCAGTCCTGCAGTTTACTCTTGCAATGCAAGAGATGAGATGGCTGTAGAGCAACTTGCAAAAATATGTTATTCTATGTTGTGTACAGCCAAAACGAAAAACGTTCTGATCAGCTACCCGGGCGGTCAAGTAGATAGTATGCTTAAATTCTACATGTGGTTAACCGGGTTCGGTCCCCAGTTGAGACGACGGGTTCGTGCATTGCTGTTGAGACTCGACTGGGTTAGAACAGTCGTGTAATGTTTGCTGGCTGTTCACTTCACACTTCGTTTCCTGTTTACTGGACGGATTCACCATATGCATTCGGCTATTAGGCAGTTACGATCAGAAATTAAATCGCAGCTTGGTGTATTCACAAGCGATTCAGTTGAAACATCAAGTAAGCTAGTTGTACCGGATTGAGGTCCGATGAGAGAGTGACTCGCAAATACCGAACCCCGAATTCGCATCAGAACACAAGGCTGGGAAATCTACGTGTATTGCATAATCAATCATGAATCAATGGAAATACAACAACACACCTCAAATTAGGGGCAACCCGGTCTGGACAGAACAATCGGTTCAATACGACAAGAGCAAACGTGCCAGGAAAACACTCTCTTGGAAATCAGAGAAGGAATGCAATGTAGATATAGAGACAGCGCTATTTAAGGGGCGGTGAGGACCAATCACAGGGATGGAAAAGCGAAGTGATTTCAAAGTCGGGGGGAGGGGGACGACAGACGGCAACCGTAATCACGGTGTATTCGAGAGAACAGACAACGAGCACGAGGAGGATGTCTGGGGTGGTTAAACGCACAAGGGCGGGCGGTAGCCGGTGGGTCATGAAACAACTGATTGCGAGAAAGAATGAACAGTGACAATAGTGAAGACGATAGGATAATCATAGTGGGTGGGTGATGAACAGGTGACCACAATAACACGAGAACGTTTCTATACCGGGTCGATATAATTGATAACGATAATGAATAGAGCGCAGAACGAGTGACGACACAGTTCCATGTGGGCGTAGATGATAAATTTCGATCATAGGACGACAATCACGACAATTATCATGAAACAGTTTTCATGTGAAGTGGAGATGATAGATTAAGGTAACAGGTTGAACGAGGAACAGGTCACGATAATTAACACGAAAGTTGCTATGTGGGACTGTTAGGTAATCATAGGGGAAATACGGGAAAGTGTAAAGTGAATGGCCATGGGGGGGGGGGAGTTCCAATCCAGTGAGCAAAGGTCATCATCAAACTGGGAGGTGGTTAGGACCGTACATGATTTGTTGGGTTTTTCAACAGAGTACAGTACGTAATTTCAATCATACAATAGAATACTTTACACTATCTTGCCCGATTTCTTGTCAGCGCAGAAAGCATTGCTTCGGACCTTTACTCCGTTATCTCGTAAATTGTATTCATTTTCACTGCTCACGATAATTATGTAATAATTTTGTTTAATAATTGTTAGATGACTATGTGACTACTGAATATCCACCTTTCGGGGTGCATAAAGTAAATACTTGACTAGTTCTCGATGAGCAAACAGTGTGCGGGAAATAGTGAATGGTGTGTATGATATAACTAGTATGCATACAACTCACAATCGTTTGTTCAAAGCTGATATTTTGCATACTTTCTGACGAAGGATTCGGAAATAGAATGCACGGAATAATGCGTCAAAACATGAGCGCAGCGAGTTGAAACATGAGGGAGACTTGCTTCCATTGGATGTGTTTTTAATGGGAATCTTCAATCCCCGGAAACCAAACACCCACATACACCTATCAGTGTGGATTATAGGATTGTAGAAACAAGGCAGGACCTTGCTATGCTGTTTATCAGGCACATGGGAATACGATGGGTTATCGAAAAGAGAATAAGGTCAGATTTATGAAAGTTTGTTAAAGAAAAAATACAATGTCTCAGTCTATTGTAGAATAGTCTTAAGTGAAGCGGGATACGCCAATATGGTGCGCTCGAATTGAAACTTTCTATGATCCTCATCGCTTTTCACACGGGTATCTTTGAAAGGAGCAGTTCAATTCCGACAACCAGTTGATCAATGTCCCTAGTCGACCAACTGCCTAT